TCTCTGTGGGTGCCATCGCCCCAGCCAGGCCCAGACCTTCATTAAAGTGTCGAATTCTCTGCCAAATAATTTCAAGTAAATGAAAGCATTTGGGATTGCTTTCCTTACTTTGTTTGGATCATCTTAAGTTAATGTATGAGTTGTTTTTTCTAAAGTAAAACCTCAGTATTCAGGTTAAATTGCCGTGTTGGCACTTTGCGATAAATAAGTGGGTTTTGGGTCGCAGTTTGGGCACTCGGTCTCTAAAAGGTTCGCCATCACTGCCATAGGCCATGTTATGTTCTCCTGATGTTGCCTCATACCATTGGTTTTCAGAGGATTTCTGCCTCTGAACGTGGAGGACCTGGTCTCCTCCATGAATTTGTCTAACCCATCGATGCTTGAGGCTATCACTACAACCACTGATAGCGAATCCCACATATGAATCACTCATTTGGGCAGAGAAGTTCTTCCTGTGTTCATCCCTAGTCTATTGCCCTTCAACTACACAGTGCCCCCGGGTTCTAGGATTTGGGAAGAGGGAGGAGGAGTCCTCTGTATCCTCCCTGCCCCAGGCATAATTTTAAAAACCTCTGTCATGCTGTCATCCCCCAGTTGGTGGTGTTGGGGGTTCCACTGCCGATCATCAAGCGTAGAGAAAGCAAGTGGGGAGAGACGCAGGCCCGTAGCCGGGATTTTGTAATTCAGGGGGCCTTTAAATAAATCCGGAAACACTGACGTCACAAAATAAAAAATAATAATTAAAAACTCACTTTTGAAGTGTTCGCAATCTGCTTGCCTACATGGGGAAGCGAGCCATGCTTGGGGAAGGGGCGGTGGTGGGGAGTCCCCTGAGTGGCCCAGAGAGCCAGGGGGCTTGGGGGCTGGATGGGAAGTCAGGGGGCCTTGGCAGGAGGTCAGGGGGCCAGGCCCCGAAATGCCCCACTATGGCTACAGGCCTGGAGAGACATCTATATGGGAATCAATGCCTTGTGTGGGATTAGAAAGTCAAATTTTAGTCATGGTTAACGTTTAGCTCCAGAAGCACAGCTAATCTTCATTGATTTTAGGGATGCCAGCCTCCAGGTGGGACCTGGGGATGCCCTGGAATCACAGCTCATCTCCAGACTACAGAGACGAGTTCCCCTGGAGAAAGGGGATGCTTCGGAGGGTGGACACTATGGCATTGCCCGCCCCACTGAGGTCCCTGTCCTCCCCAGGCTCCATCTCCCAATCTCCAGGAGTTTCCCAGCCTGGAGCTGGCAACTCGACCCCCACCATCCCCCAACGGTGGCTGAAGGGGACCTGGCAGCCCTAGTGGATTTCCTGAAAACACCGGGGCAGCCCCCCAAGTGAACCGTGCATGGACTTGACGCTTGAAAGTCAGTCTCATTGACATGAATGGCACATCTACCAAATGTCCTTAGAGGTCAGGGATATCAGAGGAGTCCGCTGCCAGTGTGCTGTAACAGTGAGACTCGGAGGCTGGAGGCCCAGGTTCGACTCCCCACTCTGCTACGGAAGCTTGATGGGGTGACCTTGGGCCAGCCACTCTGTCTCGGCCGAACCTACCTGACAGGGTGGTGGCAGTTAGGGTAAAATCAAGGAGGGGTAACTAGCATACATTGCCCTGAGCTCCTTGGGATAAAAATGTACTAAAAATACATAAAATGGGGGAGTGTCTAAGACCCCTATGCAATTTATGACCCATGAAGGCAAGTGCAGTCATCAGGCGTCGCAATCCCAGATTTTGCAATCCAGGGCGAGCAGCATCATGCCCTTGGCCCCCATAGCGGTCTGTTGTCTGGTCTGACCGGCATCTGCTCTCCAAGGTCTTAGACAGAGAACGCCCTTTTCCAATGTCTGCTGATGGAGCCCCTTTTAACTGGATTGGGCCCGGGACTTTTGGTCTGCAAAGGCTGCCTTCTGCCCCCGAGTCACAGGCTCTCTCCCACAGATCTCTAGTAGTCAACTGTAGTTGCTTTGGAGGATCGCAAGCTGTGCAGGCTTGGCGGCAGCTGTAGCATCACACTGAAAAAGCCACTGCTTGGGGGAAAGCAAGTTATGTACAAACGACAGAGGAGACCTTGGCACATACCATGCGCTTTGTGTGGGGTTGTGTGGGGTTTTTTGCACCGTCGCTTTGGCCGCTTTTCATACACATGTTCCTGAGGGTCCTGCGTGGGCTGTTCATCTTGACCATACGAGCGCAGATATCCATGGAAAGCAAGCGTTCTGCCGATCAATCGAGTTGTTAGTGGGGAAAGTTTTAGAGAAAGGAAGCGCTCGCCTGTTCTTGGCTAGCTTGTCTTGACCAAAACCCACCTCCCCAGCAGTGTTTCTTCGAAGCTGAGTTAGTGTGAGCTAGCTCACAGTTTTTTAGCCTCCGGTTCACAGATTTTTGTCTCCGCTCAGGAAGGAGGGCTCCAGAGCAAACTAATTTATGCAGGAGCCAAATCGCTCGCTCACAACTTTAATGCCAGTAGCTTAAAAAGTAGAATTTTTGCTCATAAGACTCCACAGCTTAGAGGGAACATTGCCCCCAGCTATACGTGTAATGTGTTTCCTCAGCAAGAAAACATTGGGTTGGATCTAAACGAATGTTTTCTGTACGTGCAAGGACACTTCCGCCCCTGGAGCACAATCTTCCTCCCCCCCGCAGCTTCAAATGTCTCCTGGGGCAGAGTGGAGACTCCCAGGAAGTGGGCAGGCAATCCTATGCCACAGGCAGAGATCCTTGTGCCCACAGAAGTGGTAACCTGCATCCAAGCCCGTATATAGACATGCAGTTTAGGAAGCTGCAGTTCCTGTGTTGTTTGCTGGGCATTTTCACGAGTGACCGAATCTCTTTTGAGGTGTGGTCCAGACAGCGTGGGACAACTTCGGTGTTCCATATTCTAGTTTTTCCAAAGAGTTCCTTTGGTCCACTTAAACTGACACCAGTGACCGATAGTCACATAGACTAAATGGATCCTTTGCGTTCAGAGGCAGAAGCTCTCTCAGTGCCTCTGTGGAGGGCGGGGGCAACAACAGAGAGCTCTTGGTCTCCTTATTTCCTGCTTGTGGGCTCTGTAGAGGTCAGCCACTGAGTGACACAGGATGACCACTGATCTGATGCAGTATGGCTGTTCTTAGGTGCATCAGTCTGCTGGATTCCCCCCCCCCCTTAGTGAAACGCCATCTTGGATACAGTAGCTGAAACTGGAAAATGAACCTTGTTGACTGCTTTCCTTCCTGGAGTTTCTCTGTTCCAAATCCCCCCCCCCCAACACCTTATATGGATGCCCCCTGGAAACATCACTTGGGATTGGCGGTATCGCAGGAGCTGTTTAACTCTTCCTCCGTCCTGCTGTTTGTACAAATCACTCCCCTTCCCAGTCTTTCTCTTTCTTCTAGTTCAGTGTAGTGGTTTGGTGTAGAGCCAGTTTGGTGTAGTGGTTAAGAGCAGCAGACTCTAATCTGGAGAACCAGGTTTGATTCCCCACTCCTCCACATGCAGCTGCGGATGTGACCTTGGGTCAGTCATAAGTTCTTTCAGAGCTGCTCTCTCAAGGGCAGTTCTCGGGAGAGCTCTCTCAGCCCCACCTACCTCACAGGGTGTCTGTTTTGGGGAGGGGAGGGGAAGGGAAAGGAGATTGTAAGTCGCTCTGAGACTCTGAATGAAGGGCGGGGTATAAATCCAATCTCTTCTTCTCCTTACGGGGGACAGGGTGGAGTTTTAGGGACTGTATCTTCCTTAGCATGGGCCACACTGGTGGTGGTGGGATGGGGGAATAATGTCAGAATGGACAGTGGTAGAGGTGGAAAGGGGTTAAGGACCGTGTTCCCTCTAAGCTGAGTTTGTGTGAGCTAGCTCACAGTTTTTTAGCCTCCGGCTCACACATTTTTGTCTTAGCTCAGGAAGGATGGCTCCAAAGCAAACTAATTTATGCGGCAGCCAAATTGCTCACTCACAACTTTAATGCCAGTAGCTCACAAAGTGGAATTTTTGCTCACAAGACTCCATAGCTTACAGGGAGCATTGGTTAAGGAGCCCTCGCTATCGCATTGCTTCTCCATTTCTAATGGCAACCTCTAAGGCTTCTCTTTATTTAAAATGAACATTGGGTAAGGGATACGTCTCCCCTATAGCATCGATTTTGACCCTCTGCAAATTAGTTGTACTCTAGAGCTGCGGTGGCTCAAGTGGTTAAGACGCTGAACTGCAGGCTGTGGAAGGTCAGTAGTTCAGCAGTTCGAGACCCAAGTTGCTGCATGACGGAGTGAGCTCCCGGCTCTAGTTCCAGCTCCTGCCAACCTAGCAGTTTGAAAGCAAGAAATTGCAAGTAGTCACAAAGTGGAATTTTTGCTCACAAGACTCCATAGCTTACAGGGAGCATTGGTTAAGGAGCCCTCGCTATTGCATTGCTTCTCCATTCTTAATGGCAACCTCTAAGGCTTCTCTTTATTTAAAATGAGCACTGGGTAAGGGATACGTCTCCCCTATAACATCGATTTTGACCCTTTGCAAATTAGTTGTATTCTAGAGCCTCTATGGCTTTCCGTACACATTCTTTTATCCCCCCCCCCGCCCTGCTGTTGTCCCTGGTTATACAGTTTCCCCCCCCAAGCACTGTAAAGCCCTTTGAGACTAGTGATTACTTGTTCTTTCCCCTGCTACACGCACCCAAACAAATGTCTTGGTTCCATCAGTACGTGGCACAAATGCCTTTATCTCTTCAGGGCACTGAAAAGCCATTGTCTGTGTACAGCTTGGATGCTGTTGACACAACACAGAGAGCAAAAAAGACGACTGGTTTTAAAATTTTCTGAGCACTCTGAATTTCTTGCATTAGTAAACGGAGCAAAGGGAGCAAATGCAGGCCAGCGCTTCAGGCCCGAAAGCTCCCAGGGTCAGGATGTTATCGCATGGAGAACAAAAGGCCTAGTTGTTATAATATCTTGCCCTTACTTTTCTGAACTTGTCTACTAGCTCTAGTTGGTGATGATAAACCTTCACCAAATGTCCAGTTCGGATCAACAGCCTAGATCACGCCGGTCCCCTTCTCACTTGGTGGCCGACTTAATTTTGTGGATGGCGTACGGGCTGGACTCCTTGGGGATCCAGATCTCGTCTCCCTCGTGATTCCTCTGGTCAGCTGCTCCTTCCAGGGCTGCGGTCAGCTCCGGCCCAAAGATGTTGTTGGAATTACGGTAGGTCTGGGTGAGGCGGCGGAAGGAGGAGTCCGAGGAGCTGTCGTCCTGGTTATCGTCCTCTCGTCCATCTTGGAACTTGGTCTTGTCCAGTTCTAAACTGTTGCTCAGCTCTTTGCCTTTGAAGGCCTCCTTCAAGTCGCGGCAGAAGCCCGCTTTGGGGGCGAAGAGGAGGAGGAGAAACACCAGGCCCACCGAAACGCCACACAGGAAATAGAAACCCACCTTCTCAGGAACGCCTGTGAAGAGAAAGAAGCATAAACCTCTCCTCGTCTGCAGAAAGACCTGCTTCCTCATCCTTCTTGCGGGGTCCAAGCACCTTTCTGGTCTGCACAACCACGTTAAAGGAGTCTGGGCTTGCTGGTAATCCTTAAATGATTTGGTGGGGGCTTTAGCTATTATTATGACTTTGAGCATTGGCAGAATGCTTTAAAGGGGGTTAAGAGGTCACTTGCCCAGACCTGGATGGCCAGGCTAATCTGAAAGCACATGGGCCTTTTTTGTAGCAGGAACTCCTTTGCCTATTAGGCGACACACCCCTAATGTAGCCAATCCTCCAAGAGCTTACAGAGCTCTTCTGACAGGGGCTACTGTAAGCTCTTGGAGGATTGGCTACATCAGGGGTGTGTCACCTAATAGGCAAAAGAGTTCCTGCTACAAAAAGAGCCCTTATTATCAACTTCCCCCAGCTTGTGTGGGCTTGCCCACCTGCATCTTGATTTGGCCCCCGCAGTACCCTGGCGTTCTCAGCTGTGTCCTGAGCACTTGCTCTCCCTTCGCTTTGAAATGGGCGCTCGGGGTTATCTAGGCCATGGGCTTCCTCTGTATCTGGGCGCCAGTGAACGCACAAGGTCTTGCGGTACCCACCAAATGCTTGCCAAAGGGGCCTGTCTCCCCCCCCCGTCCCACCTCACCGCCACCCCACCCCCCGAAAAGACACATACCCCAGACATGGGCAAAAGTTTCCAGAGAGCTAGTAAATATCATCAGATTATCTTGAAGTCTGGCCAGCCTTGGCCCGGTGTACCAGCCACCTGCAGCAAACAAGGGGATAGCGGGATCTTACTGAGGAGGGTGCAGGAGACCAGAGAAAGAACCCTAAAGCTAATCCCGCCTAAGCATCTCCCTGGTAGCGTACGCAGCTTATGAAACTGACTCGGGCAACATTTGGCATGCTTGCCAGAGCCCATAATTCATTCTAACAAGGGCTAGTTGTGCCGGTGAGAGATCCGTCAATGCCTGTGAGCTGAGGCAGTTCACTGGAACCTCCATTGTTCAGAAGAAGAGAGCCGTGTCTCACGAAAGCTCATCCCCGCCACTAATTTTGTTAGTCTTTAAGGTGCTACTGGGCTCTTGCTCTTTCCCATTGTTCAGAGGCGATGGACCTTTGAGTGGAATTAAACAGACTTGCCCCACATGTCCCCCCCCCAAGAGCACTACGGTCGGGGCCGCAAAATTTTTGGGACATCCCAGGTCCTAAGGACGTTAAACTAGCTGTGACCAGGGCCAGGGCTTATTCGGTGGCGGCTCCTACCTGGTGGAACGAGCTCCCGGGAGAGATCCAGGCCCTTCGGGACCTTATGCAGTTCTGCAGGGCCTGCAAGACGGAGGAGCTCTTCTGCCAGGCCTTTGAGTAGGAGCCGCCCCCCCATTATACCGTCACCATCAAGGTATCTTAAAGGATGCATTGATGAGGCCCGAGGAAGAACTGGGAAACTGTAGAAGATCTGATGCCGTCGTCATTGGACATGTACACCAGGGGAGTTCCATCTGGAACTGGGGACTTACCATCTTGGACTTAGGACATTAGTAATAGATTGCGTATTGTGGTTTTAATGCTAGATGTTTTATTATGTTTTTATATATGGCATGGCAACGGCCTGCCCTTGTTAGCCGCCCTGAGCCCACAGGGGAGGGCGGGATATAAATAATGAAAAATAAATAAATAACAAAGAGGAGAGACCTGTTGGGTTTTTATGCTTTCCTTTGGAGATGGACTAGGGGACCAGATCGGCCCTTGGTCCGACACAGACGGGAGCACGCTTCCATGGCAGAGCACATGTACAATAGATGACAGAAACCAAGATCTGGGGTAGCAGTCAATGCTCCCTCTAAGCTGTGGAGTCTTGTAAGCAAAAATTCTACTTTGTGAGCTACTGGCAGTAGCTCACAAAGTAGCCAGTTTGGTGTAGTGGTTAAGTGTGCGGACTCTAATCTGGGAGAACCGGGTTTGATTCCCCACTCCTCCACTTGCACCTAGCTGGATGACCTTGGGCAAGCCATGGTTCTGATAAGAGCTATCCTTGAAAAAGAGCTGTTCTGGACAGAGCTCTCTCAGGCCCACCCACCTCACAGGGTGTCTGTTGTGGGGAGGGGAAGGGAAAGGAGCTTGTAAGCCGCTCTGAGACTCCAAGTGAAGGGCGGGGTATAAATCCAATCTCTTCTTCTTCTTCTTCTTCTAAAGTTGTGAGCGAGCGATTTGGCTACTACATAAGGGTGCGGTCACACGGTCCTTTTGATCGGGTTTCGCCGCTGTTCCCTCCCACATTTAAATTTGCTGACCAGATAGGCCAATCTGCCTCCCACGCCAAAGCAGGCTTAGTCCTGCAATTTTTGCGGTTCTCTGCCACATTTTCCGGCACTGGCCGGAATGAGTATTTTCCGGGTTTTCCCACTGCGATCCCGCGATTTCCGTATCTGGACTGCATATCACCATGACTTTTCTTTCTTTCTTTCTTTCTTTCTTTCTTTCTTTCTTTCTTTCTTTCTTTCTTTCTTTCGCTGACCCCTGTTTTGCGCATGTGCAAAAAATGTGATGTAATTATTCCATGCGTAAAGGTGCAAAAGCACATGTGCAATTGATTTTTTTTTTAATTCCCACGCTGACGCAAGGGGCAGCACGGCTGTCTGATTAGTGGTTCACGCAATTAAAGCGGTTGAAAGAGGGACTGTGTGACCATCTTCACCCGATACAAAATGCTGCGGATAAAATGACAGTGGGAACAACAGCGCGGCAAGAGGTCAGTGTGACCACACCCTAAGTTAGTTTGCTTTGGAGCCATCCTCCCTGAGCTAAGACAAAAATGTGTGAGCCGGAGGCTAAAAAACTGTGAGCTAGCTCACACTAACTCAGCTTAGAGGGAACAGTGGGTATTGGGAAAGACCCCTCTTTGCCTGAGCCAATGGTCTCATCGAGTACAGGGCATCCTCGTACCTTGGTCACTGCACAGGGTCAATAGCTAGCACATAAAACTTGCCTGCAGGAAGTCCCGGGCTCCATACCTGGCATCTCCAGTCAAAGAATCTCAGGCGTGACAAAGACCTTTCTCTGCTGGAGAGTCGCTGCCACGCTGAGCTAGACTGACTGAAATGGTTGGCACAATAAGGCAACCGAATCCGTCAAAGAGGCACTTGGGTTCTCTTCCTGCGCCCATCCCACTCTGCTTGCAAATAATTCCACTCCACGTTGCTAGGCTGTGCTGCCTGTCATGTACAATTTGATCAGGTATGCTATGGAGCCAGCTTCTGGACCGCTTTCCGGAGAACGAAGCGTTGGCCTCTGGGTGAAAATCCCAAAGTCGGCCATCCCTGCACGGCCCCAGCTGCCTTCTTCTGCGGCTCTTCTCCCACCTCCAGCGCTCCTCAGCCTGATCGCGCCTGCTGTTATCGCATCCGAAGATAACTGTCGTAAAGCTTAGATAACAGTCTGTGCAGATTGTTCGCCATTCTCCTCTTCACCCTGACCAGCTTACAGAGCACAGAACGGAACAATGGATTGGATTCTGCCTGCTCCTTTGTTGCCCACAGTGATCCCCCCCCTCAAGATAAATAACCTCACCAACACTACTGGTGGCGGAAGGTGCCGTCAGGTCTCAGCTGACTCATGGCGACCCCTGGTGGGGTTTTCAAGGCAAGAGACACTCAGAGGTGGTCTGCTGCTGCCTGCCTCTGCGTCGCAACCCTGGGCTTCCTTGCTGGTCTCCCATCCAAATACTAACCTGGGCCGACCCTGCTTAGCTTCCGAGATCTGACAAGCTCAAGCTGGCCCGGGCTAACAGTCTGTCGAAATGTGGTGGTCTTTTAGCTCACAGATGGCTGCTAGAGCGAATGAACCCGAGGAATGAATTTTGCAATAGAGCCAAGGTGACTAAGGCCTGATTTTATAGTAACGCTGATATCCGAGAACAATGTCTGCCTGGGCTAGAAGTCTCCTGGACCCCTAAGCATGCATAGTGGCTGAGGGCCCAGTTTAACTGAAATGCTGAGCACAGGCAACATCACACTGGGAGGTTCTTCAGCATCACATTTAAAGTGGGTCACGGTGGGCCCCACTGAGCTCTGGAGAAGCAAGAGACTCCCTGGGAAGCAAGACCGGGGAATGAAGAACAGGTTGAGTTGTGTCCTAACCAAGGCTCCCTCTAAGCCGTTGAGTCTTGTGAGCAAAAATCCTACTTTGTGAGCTACTGGCATGAAAGTTGTGAGCGAGCGATTTGGCTACTGCATAAATTAGCTTGCTCTGGTGCCCTCCTTCCTGAGCTAAGACAAAAAGGTGTGAGCCGGAGGCTAAACAACTGTGAGCTGGCTCACACTAACTCAGCTTAGAGGGAACACTGGCCACCACACTGCCCCTTAGACCCTGAAGCCTTCCTGCAGCCTAAGAAGGAAGGCATCTTAGGCCAGAGGAAGACTTCAGACTTTGCTAAGAGGAGTGGTTCAGAAGTTCACCATGACTTCCAGGGCGGAGCTGAGAACACAGGGAGGGCTGTGCCAGGCAGAAAAGGCAAAATCTGCAGGGCTTTCTTTCTTTCTTTTTTTTAAGGTGCCAGAACTCTCAAGAGGGAAATGAAGTTTTCAATCTGTATACTGAAAACTCATGAACGTTTCAACATTTTTAAAAGAATGTTGTCGAAGAGGTTCCGGAACTCCGTTCTGGTGCATTCCCCCAGGAAAAAAGCCCTGAGAATCTGGATTACACCGCAACCCCAGAGTCGGATTCGACTGGCTTTCGAGCAAGGGAACCTTTACCTTTTACCTCCTGGGAAGGGAGATCACCCAAAGACTTCTGGGTTTCCTCCCGAACCAGGGCACTTCATTGCAGACAAGAAAAGAAATTCCCTCTCCAGCTGTGCCATGGCCCATGGATGGGAAAGACAAAGTCAACCAGACAGCTACAGCTCGTTCAGTAAGAACCTTCTCCCTTGCCCTACATGGCAGTGAGAGGCAGGCACGTTTTCTAGCCGCTAATGCTAAAATTTTACTGATAATTAAGGAAGGAACGTTTATTTACCATGCGTGTAGTCCGAGATCGAGAAGGGGTCTTCGTGGGAATCGCGGCCCACTTCCTCCAATAGCTGCCTTGGCACTGAAAAGGAAATGGGATGCTTCATTGCTCACATGGAGGAAAATAACAGGGGGGGGGGCAGTAAGGGAATCAATCATTGCGACCTTCCACTCTGACTCAGATCTACCCCTTTGAGATACTACAATATCTTTCGTGGTGTTAGCCAGTCCGTTTCTGGGCCTTCTTTTGTTTTGGTTCTTTTTTCTTTCTCTCTAAACTAATGTTCGCCTGGACTTGGATGGCCCAGACGAGCTCAGTCTTATCAGTTCTTGGAAGCTAAGCAGGATTGGACCTAGTTTTAGTGTTTGGGTGGGAGACCTCCAAGGAAGTCCAGGGTTGCTACGCAGAGGCAGGCGATGGGAAATCAGCTCTGTTCATCTCTTGCCTTGAAAACCTTACAGGGTCACCATTAATGCTCCCACTAAGCTGTGGGATCTTGCGAGCATAAATTCTACTTTGTGAGCTACAGGCATTAAAGTTGTGAGCGAGCGATTTGGCTACTGCATAAATTAGTTTGCTCTGGAGTCTGGAGCCCTCCTTCCTGAGCTAAGACAAAAAGGTGCGAGCCGGAGGCTAAAAAACTGTGAGCTAGCTCACACTAACTCAGCTTAGAGGGAACACTGGTCACCATATGCTGGCTGTGACCTGATGACGCATTCCACAGCCACAAACGAATGCTCAGCTGCCCACAGCTTTCCACGCCTCCTAAAGCGCGCTCAGTCCTTATCGGGCCATTTGGGGAAGAGGAGTTTTCTCTTTATTATTATTTTAATTTGCAAAGTACTCTATTTACACAGAAGGAAGACTAGGGTCTCACCCCCCCCCAGGGTGTGTTGCCAAGAAAAAATGGAGGCATCTTACACTTGCATTCAAGTTACAAGCCTGCACAGTAATAAAAAAACGTTGTGTGTATACCCTTTGAGGGGAGCCACCTTACGTTCAGGACTGTCTTCCTTTCAAGGCTATCTGTAGTACTTTCTGTAAGCCCAGAGAATTCAGCCCCCTTTTCTATGGGAGGCCCCATTTCAGTGCTCTACTGATAGGAGCTCAACCTTCAGGTTGACACTGAGGAGATAAGCTGCTGGTGGTGCTGGACCGTTTCATGGACAGGGTCTCTTAGAGTTAGGGCCACCACGCTAAGGCTGCTATAAATTACTTGATGGTGGCCAGGTGAGCCGTTTTGCACACAAATCATCAGTAGCCACTGTCCCTAAAAGGACCTAGTACCCGATGCTATGGAACTGTTATTTATGCAGTTTGTTTTTAAGTACTGAAATCTTACGAAAGCCAGTGTGGTGCAGTGGTCAGAGTGCCAGGCCAAGATCTGGGAGACCCAGGTTTGAATCCCCACTCTCCCATGGATCTTGCTGGGTGACTTTAGACTCATCATATCCTCCTGCCTGGCCTACCCCGCAATATTGTTGGGTTGCTGTAAGGATCAGAGGTCATTTCGGGGGGGATCGCGGGGGATCGCAGTTCCCCCGGGTGAGGTGCAGGGGGCGGGGCACACGACGAAGCCCCGCCCCCTGCTTCCGGCCGCCCCGCTTCCAGCCCTCATTCAGCCAGGAGGAGGCAGGAGAAGAGGGAGGGTAAGTTGCTTCCTCCCTGCCTCTCCCCACCCCTGCCTGCCTGGGGCCCGGGAGGGCCTTAGCGGGGCTTCCTTGCACTCCCGCCGGCCTTGCAGGTCCACCGCTGGGCCCCTGATGTCAGGGGGTGTGGCATATGCTAATGAGTTATGCTAATGAGTTCCCCTAGCTCTTTTTCTACGAAACGACCCCTGGTAAGGATAAAAGGGAGGAGTGGAGAATGATGTATGCCACTCTGGGTTCCCGTTGGGGAGAAAAGTGAGGATCGATATCTAAAATGTATCAATACACTTCCCGTTTTTAAGCTGCCCCTGGGAGTTAAAGTATGTGGCAGGATACAAATGGAAAGAATCAAACTTCTTTGTTCGACAACAGCTGTTTTATTCTACCCTTCCTCTAAGGAACTCAGTGAAGAGCAAATGGCTCTCCCCTCCTCCATGTTATCTTCACAACGGCCCTGCAGGGTAGATTAGCCTGAAAGACGGAGAGTAGCCCAAATTCCCCTAGTGACGATGAGGGAGGATTTGAACTGGGACTCTGCAGGCTATTCCAGCAATATGACCATAACGCCACAGGTCTTGGAAGCAATATATATCTCCAGGGCTTTTTTTGCAGAAAAAGCCCAGCAGGAACTCATTAGCATAATAGGCCATACCCAACAGCAGAAACTAATTAGCATATTAGGCCACACCCCTGACAGCACAGCTCATTCGCACATTAGACCACACCCTCGTGTTACCAGAAGTGTGGTCACTCAGCCACACCCACCCTTTGCTTCTTATTCTCTTTACCTTGTTTGTTGACAAAACCCAGGGCCTTTTTTTGTAGCAGGGACTCCTTTGCATGTTAGGCCACACACCCCTAATTGTAGCCAGTCCTAATGAGTTTCTGCTGTTGGGTGTGGCCTATTATGCTAATGAGTTCCTGCTGGGTGTGGCCAACTTGGGAGCCAGCCGGAACTCCGTTCCTGTGCGTTCCTGCCCAAAAATAGCCCTGTTATGCACTGGATTCTGGTCACAAACAACAGGGGATAGACATCAGTTTCTTGCCCTGGTTTGGGAGCTGCCATGGGGCACCTGGCTGGCCATTCTTGGAAAGAGAATTCTGGACTCACTGGGCCTTTGGGTGATCCTGCACAGCCCTTCTTAGGATCTTCATAGGACGGACAGAGCCTCACATGAGCCAAAACAGTGTACCTGACTGGGCCACAGGAATGTAATTGCTCTGTCCCCAGCTGTCCTGAATTCCTTTAAGATAAGGCTGAGAGGAAAGGACTGTATTAGGACCTGCAACAGGGTTGATCTCTGCTATTTGACCCTTGAGGCAGAAAATATGTATCCCTGTGAGGTAAAAGGAGAAACAATCGACAGTCTGCTACCCTCTCACGAGGGCCCAAATTGGCTCTCGTCTCTGAGAGACGAAGGGTGTGTTAACTGGCAAACATGAATTCAAGACTCAGTGCCATTTTTTGTTATCTAGAAAAGCTGCTTTGGAGGGGACAACAGAGAGCAGAATGTTGGCAAGGCTGCCTTCTCCGTGCTTCAGAGCCCCACCCCCTCCGTAGGTGGAGGGATGCCAGTCTCCAGGTGGTACCTGGGGATCCCCCCGGAATTACAGCTCATTTCCAGACTACAGAGATCAGTTCACCTGGAGAAAATGGATGTTTTGGAGGGTGGACTGTTTGGCATTGGACTCCCCACTGAGGTCCCTGTCCTCCCCAGGCTCCATCCCCAAATCTCCAGGAGTTTCCCCACCTGGATCTAGCAACCCGGCCCCCCCCCCCACAATCCCCTGCTGGTGGCCAAGGGGGACCTGGCAACCCTAGGGTTAAAATAAACCTTTGTGCCCCAAAACAAGCCCTTTTGAAATCTGTGGAGAAAAAGGATTTTTTTTGGGGGGGCAATGATAACAGGGATAGGGTGAGAAGGAAAAGGGTTAACCCTCCCTTGGCCATTTCTCTGCTCTCCGTTGCCCTATCTGAAGCTGCCTGGGTTTCTAAAAAAGGGGTAGGAATCAGTATTTCTGGGATCTATGTACACAGTGAGTGTGGGGCTGAGGTTGCCAGCTCTGGGTTGAAAAATTCCTGGAGATTTGGAAGGTGGAACCTGGCGAGAGCAGGGTTGGGACCAATGCTCCCTCTAAGCTGTGGAGTCTTGTGAGCAAAAATTCTACTTTGTGAGCTACCGGCATGAAAGTTGTGAGTGAGCGATTTGGCTACTGCATAACTTAGTCTGCTCTGGAGCCCCATCCTTCCTGAGCTAAGACAAAAATGTGTGAGCCGGAGGCTAAAAAGCTGTGAGCTAGCTCACACTAACTCAGCTTAGAGGGAACACTGGTTGGGACCTCAGTGGGGTATAATGCCATAGAATACACACACACACACACACACAAAGCTGCCATTTTCTCCAAGTGAACTTACTTCTATCAACTGAAGACCAGTAGAGATTCTGGGAGATCTCCAGGCCCCACCTGGCGGTTGGCAACCAACAGAATAAGTTTGTTCTAGCCCCAGAGAAATTCTGCTCAGATACGGGTCTCCTTGGTCTAAGTGTCTGCCCTGCCTCCGGTCTGAGTCATGGGCTACTCTCGCCCTTTCTCCTCATTTCCCCTGCTACTCTCCTTTCTACGCTGCAAGATCGCCAGTCAGGTATGAACCCCAGAACAATTTCTGTGCTCACCACAAGTATAGGAGACCCTGAGCTGCTTCTTCACTCTAGGGAAGCAGGGATTGCCAAAGGTGGCTGTATCGGCAATGACGGTGCAGTTTTCCTTCCGGTGACATCTTCGGGAGACTTTCCTCAGCGCCTCAGGAGCCAGGCATTCTGTCAACAGCACACACGACACAGTCACTCTCCGAAAGAGCAACGGAGCTAGGAGGGGGCGCAGGGCTGGCATGGCCCGCTGGGTAAAAACACCAACCCTGGACCTGTGCTCAGTCATGACTGTTCAGGAAAATGTCTGCTGAGGAGCCGTTATGTTTCTCGGCCTCAGTTCCCAGCCTGTAAAATGGGCTGATAACGATGGCGCACAGAAGGGTTAGGAGGACGAAGTGGATCAGCCCTGGTAAGCCCATTAAAAACATTCTGCAAACGATTAATAGGGACAGAAATATTTGTTAAGCTGCTTTCAGCTTTCACGGGTAATGCACGAATGGAGGTCTCATGTCACAATCGTAGACAGGGGCATCTCTGAGGCCAGATTCACACGTGCCACTTCAGGCATCCAGCTGCCCTCCTGCCGCTGTGGCATGCGCGTGTGAAAAACCAGACGGGGAAAAAAACGTTTTAAAATGCACTTTTATCAGGTTTCTGAAAGCCACTGATGGCAACGCAAGAAATCTGCTTTACGATCAAACTTCTCAACCTTTCTGCACTTTTTTACATGCGCACGCAATTTGGGCCTTCAGCCAGGATAGGTAGCATTTTCCCAAGGGCATCACTGGGTTGTTTTATCCGTGTCTGTTCAACAGCATGGAACGCAAGCTGTGATGTGTACATGGGAGTCTGAGGCCTGGTTCACACATACAGGAGAATGAAACAGTAGAATGCTAGCACACCCTGCAAAGGAATGGGATAGCACCTCTCTCTGATGTGGAGAAGCATTCCAGAATGGTTCTCACCTGCCCTGGCAGGCTGAAGTGGAGAGTGGTCCATTCTACCATCTTATTCCCGCCTCCCTACAGGTAAGCAGAGACCAAGTCTAGGTGCTCAGATGGGAAGACAGGAAGCTTAGAACAGACCTGCCCCTCTTAATTCCATGGGAAAACACTCAAGTCCCAAAGCTCACTTGAGTTTCTCTTGGAAGGGACTGGGCTCCACCTTCCCTCTTTACCTATGTCAGGGCCGGTCCCATTCACAGTCTCGCACTCCGGCTTCCCACGCAAAGGCCTCCCATAGACTGCAGAGTAGATGGCTAGAACAGACTTATTCCGACACTGCAGCCTCAGCTTGTCGTTTTCACAGGCGGTCTTGAGGCGGTGGTTAGCTAGGAAGCAATAAAGCCCATAAGCTTGGTTGTTTGGTTGCTCCATCCAGAGGATCAGTCTTGAAACACCACTTTTATTAAGCCCAGATTTGCAATGAGGGGTGGTCAGTCAAAAAAGGGACACTTTTTTCATTAATGGAGTTTTGTCACTCTAGTTTAAACAACTGAGTAATTTGGGTAAAATTTCCACATCTCTAGTTCCAGCTTGCATTGCAATGCTGCGTTTGGGTAACTGGGGCCCGGGATTTTCATCCTAAAGTCTGCAGCAGACAGCATCACTGAATGGGGGCAGACCCCTCCCCACCCTCCCCCCAAAACATTGCCAGACTTTCCACCACCCACCACCACCAAACTAACGACTGATGTCTTCATTTCTGATAACCTCGTTTTTTGTCAGGAGGGAAATCTTGACCAAAAATGCAATGTGGTTTTCATTTCTTTATAACACTTTCAATGTGTTTTGATTTAACACAATAAACTAAAAATAGATTTTAAAAAAAATAGAACAGAAGGGGGATGTTCTCTTTGTTTGTTAAAACAACACTACGAGGCTATGGACTGCACTGAGATAACTGAAAGAGATAACTTTCTTTTATGGACATTGCAAATGATGTTTGTTAGATTTTACTTACATTGTCAAAACAACCAGGCAACCGTGAAAGCAGGCGCTCTGTTACTGAGCCACAGCCCCTCCGTGGTCTGAGGATGTGGGGCTAGATCGACCCCTGGTCTGAGCCAGCAGGGCAATCCACATTCTGATCACCCTCAACCCCAGTGCCTGCTCCCCATAAGATTATACACCCTGCTTCCACACACCCCACCTGCAAACTGTTTCCATGCTGGAAGCTAGACTCCAGACAAGGTCTGCCAGGATCTAGGACTGTACAGCTTCCACCAAAGCTAAGCTATTCATTCTACACCTTGTAACAACCGTAACTATCTAGGAAGGTCCCATTCCTGATGATGTGCTGATTCAAAACAGTCACCCTTGATCAAACCAGACACAGAATTTTTCTATTGCTTTGCATAACCTCAAGTCCAATGCTTTTTGAACAGAAGCAGTTCTATTGCAAGTCCACAGGTGATCGGGTACATGAAGGGAGGTGCATGGCAAAGCGTCAATCAGCTCTCATAAGAACAAAACAGCAGAAGAACAGAATAAAAAGAGTCCAGCCGCACTTTAAAGACTAAAAACGCTTATTGCAATATGAGCTTTTGTGAGTCGCCGCCTACTGCTTCAGCAATCCATACTGCTGATGGCTGAAATAGGATTAATTATTTTTATGACCACCAAAATAAAACAAGAGCATGAATGACATCCAGTCTCTGCTCATTTCACTCACCCGGCCTACATTTGTACGAAACAACCAAGTACTTGTGTGTCCCTGGACATGGATCTGGCCCAAAAACACGGCTGTGGACAGAGAAATGGCACCAGCGTTGGTCTTGACACTCATCCATCAATTTCTGCAGGAGAAATGCCAGAATTAAGTCATTCATGCCATACCTTGTAACAACCATAAATAGTACCCAGAAGAATGACCAAAAGCTTTAAAAAAGCACAAAAAGAGGGTCCACATCCATATGAGTGTAGCGGTTTTAAAAAGTAGAAGACTGTATCTCTCTTGCAGCAATGCCCTGTGTTCAAGAACATTTTCGAATAATTTTGTAAAAAAAATTAACTAGCCCTGAACTGAGAGTGATTGAGTCTAGTCAATTTCACATCCGCATGCAGGTTTCCCCTGTCTTCTGTGACATTTGTTGATTTATCCCATACCACTTCTGGATCAGGGCAAATGCCAGAAGAATGTTAACGATGAAGTTGGTCCTTCTACTTTATTCTGTTCCATTACTCAACCCATTCCAAGGGGCAATTTTACACTTTTACTGAGAATGAGACACAGCTTCGTTAGCAGCAGAAAACCATTTTTGCCTTTTTAAAAATCCTGTTTGCAGAGAACTCTGTTCTTTTCTCTGCACCTCTAGCACATCCCAGCTTTTCTCTTAACTGCCATAGTCCCTCCTGTCTTTCATGGCCCTCCCTGTTTTTCTCTCTGCCCTTCCTAGCACCCTCCACCTGCCTCCAGTGTCCCCTCTAAGCTGAGTTAGTGTGAGCTAGCTCATAGTTTTTTAGCCTCCGGCTCACACATTTTTGTCTTAGCTCAGGAAGGACGGCTCCAGGGCAAACTGATTTATGCAGCAGCCAAATCGTTCGCTCACAACTTTAATGCCAGCAGGTCTCAAAGTAGCATTTTTGCTCACAAGACTTAGAGGGAGCATTGATCTGAGGGCCCAGAAACAAAAGCACGAATTTTCAGAGGAATTTTCCCCCTGTGTTTTCCTAAGGAATTCCCCCCAATTTTTAAAGTGTATAACATGAGAAATTTGAGGGAGCACTGGGGGAAAAAATCATATGAAATATTTTTTCTTGGAAATGAGTGAAATACTTTTAGAGACACTCAAAATACATAACAAGAAAAAGTCTTAGGACTTAAAAAAATGTTCCAGGAGCACAGGGGGGAAATACTATGAATTAACGAAATGTTTTTAAAGACAAGGTTTAACTCAAAATATGTAGTAATCAGTTTTATAGATGGAAAAATTGGGGAATTTGGTGAAGCAGTGAAAAAATATTTTTTTCTCTGTTTTGGAATAAGTGGGAAATGCTCTAAGGTTCAACGGTTTGTGGCCCTTTCTCTCAGATTTATATTGCATTTATTGAATATTTTCCTTGAAGAAAATGAATGCATTAATACTTTCAAATTCCATAAATATGCCAAATAATACAATTTTGTATGGTAACAGGAATTATAAATGGGGCATTTTATGTTATTAAAGGGGCAAGAGGTTTTGGTTTAGTAAAAAAGTAAGTATGGCACAGATTTCCATTTTTGTCAAAATTTCTGACATTTTTCCCCAGGGAAAAGGGAGGCAGTTTTTTTCTCCCTGGCTTTAAAATGTCTGGAAATTTTACATCTCTGGTGTTTCTGCACCCTCATTTCTCAGTCACCTCCATATTCTCCCCCTCTCTCCCAGACCACAGGTTTCTCTACACACCCTCATTCATATCACACCCTTTTCTTCCTCCCGTCTCATTCACACTGTTGTTTCTCTTCCCACTCTCTGTCCCTGCCTTCTTGTCTCTCTTCATGGCTGAATCCTATAGGAAGAGAAGAACAGGGAGGCCTTCACTCTCCCATCAGCAATAGGGATAGAGATGGCAAAAGATCGCACCTCCTTCCCCTGGATTCAGACTCACAAAGCAGAACCTTCCATCAGGGTGTGGTTTTCTGGAAAGGGAAAGCCTTGGGTGCTGTCGGTGTGCTGGGAAAAGATGAGGGGAAGGAGCTGTCATAAATATGTTCTTATAAAGAGGGCCCAAATAACAGGCGTTCCTCCAGGGGTCTGCAAATGGTCAAGAAGAAGGCCAAACTGGCCCACGGGTCTTATGTGGTTCAGGCTTGCTCTACAGAACTGATTGTCTGTATATGCACCTTTTGAGCCAGAATTTACTGGATTACCACAAAACCTAAAATATCACAGCAGCAGCAAGCTTTGAATTGACAAAGTCCTGACAAAGCTGTCATGTGCATTTTTTTCAGTAAACCACTAGATGGCGCTGCAAACTAGCAGTATCTGAAGAAGTGAACAGCTGCTTAGGAAAGCTCTTACCCTGCCACAAATTTTGTTAAGTCTTTAAGGTGCTACTGGACTCTTGCTCTTTTCTACCTCTAGCTGGAGCAGTGTGCTTTCAAAAGGCCAATTCTTTCCCCGGCTTCCCAGCAGGCCTGCTCAATTTGTAAATCCACCACCATTCCAAATACCACCACCATTTGCAGATAACAAAAAGCAGAGCTGCTAAATGGCTTAGGGTGGCCAACGGCAGGATGGGAAATTTCTGGAGATTTGGGGGCAGAGCCAGGGGAGGGCAGAAAAGGGGTGATCAGATTTTGAAAAGCAAGAAAGGAGGACATATTTCCCAATGGACTGCTCCAAACAAGTGATCACTATGACAAATCTCATATTTAAGCTGTGATCAATGTTATTAACTAGGCATATTCCTAAACTTCCAACCCCAAAAGAGGCAATTTTCATTGTGTTTTTTTTTAAGATCCCAAAAGAGGACGGTCACTGAAGACTTTTGTTAAGTCTTTAAGGTGCTACTGGACTCTTGCTCTTTTCTACCTCTAGCTGGAGCAGTGTGCTTTCAAAAGGCCAATTCTTTCCCCGGCTTCCCAGCAGGCCTGCTCAATTTGTAAATCCACCACCATTCCAAATACCACCACCATTTGCAGATAACAAAAAGCAGAGCTGCTAAATGGCTTAGGGTGGCCAACGGCAGGATGGGAAATTTCTGGAGATTTGGGGGCAGAGCCAGGGGAGGGCAGAAAAGGGGTGATCAGATTTTGAAAAGCAAGAAAGGAGGACATATTTCCCAATGGACTGCTTCAAACAAGTGATCACTATGACAAATCTCATATTTAAGCTGTGATTGTTGTTATTAACTAGGCATATTCCTAAACTTCCAACTTCAAAAGAGGCAATTTTCACTGTGGTTTCTTTAAAGATCCCAAAAGAGGACGGTCACTGAAAAAAGGGGGCACGTCCTCTAAAAGGACGATATCAGGTAACTCAGCTCAGTTAGGTGATGCCACAGAGTCCATCTTTCAAAGAGGCCATTTTCTCTGGGCGAACTGATCTCTATTACCTGGAGATTAGTTGTAATCCCAGAAGATCTCCAGCCACCACCTGGAGGTTGGCAACCCTAGTAATCATTCTCAATCACGGGCTTGTTACGAAGGTGTTAAATACTGGGCTCCATGGATGAGCTGACCCCAAGTCTAGGGATCAGCTCAGCTTTATTAGTGATTCAGCAGATACAAGACTAAACTCCAGGGCAACAGCTTTAAACAGCATGCAAACACCACACCCAAACACCCAAACTCCCAACCGTAGCCTATTTACGTAAAATTAGTCAGGGACTCATTAGCATAATAGGCCACACCCAACAGCAGAGACTTATTAGACCACACCCCTGACAGTGCAGCTCATTCGCATATTAGGTTACACCCCCATGCCTTCCCTTGGCTTGCCCTGGCGGGACGTCCTGCAAGTGTGGGCTCTCCAGGCCTTCCCTCTGTAGCCACACATGCAGAGGTTTTGGCTGTAGTGGGCATGGTCAACTCTGAAGCCAGCCGGAACTCCGTTCCTGCGCGTTCCTGCCCCAAAACAGCCCTGACATTAGTTCCTCATTGGTCACCTCCAGAGCCCAGGTGGGCTATTGTTCTAGAGCAGTGATGGCAAACCTTTTAGAGACCGAGTGCCCAAACTGCAACACAAAACCCACTTATTTACCGCAAAGTGCCAACACGGCGATTTAACCTGAATACTGAGGTTTTACTTTAGAAAAAACAACCCATACTTTAACTTAAGATGATCCAAACAAGGCAAGGAAAGCAATCCCAAATGCTGTCATTTACTTAAAATTATTTGGCAGAGAATTCAACACTTTTATGATGGTCTGGGCCTGGCTGGGGCGATGGCACGTGTGCCCACAGAGAGGGCTCTGAGTGCCACCTCTGGCACCCGTGCCATAGGTTCACCACCACTGTTCTAGAGTTTCAAGCTCAGCCAGTCTCTGGTAGACAGTCCTGGGATGTTCCAACCCCAATACATAACAGAAGATAAAATGGAGGCGGCGAGAACCATGCATGCCCCCTTGAGCTTCTTGCAGAAACAATAGGATAAAAATATATCACATAAATGCTGACATTTTCCACCTAACCCTCAAGTACTGGATTCTAAGTGCCTTTACCTGGCGAGCTGTAGGAGATACGCAATCGGTGCTCTCAGAGGTGAGCTCTCCTGAGGCTGGGCAGAGGTTTTGACTGGGCACCCGGCGCCCGTAGAACGCAGAGAGGACACTGATTGAAGTTTTGTGAGGGCAAATGATGGTCAGCTGTTTCCCATCGCAGGCATGGGCAGTCTGATTTTTCAAAACCTTCTGTAGGTAACCTGGTGGGAGCAAAACAACGGACAGGGATATTAAATGTAAACTTGCCAAACTGCCGTCATTGATCCCTAAACCAAAAGGTTATGATGTTAGTCAGGGGTCCTCAAACTACGGACCGTGGGCCACATGCGGCCCACTGAAAACATTTATCCGCTGCCAGTCTTCATCCTACTTCCCTTTCTGAAAGCCATTTTGGATTCCATTGGCCCTAGTTCCATCTTCAAGAGAGTGTGGTGAACTTTGGGAGGTTCTGGGTGTTCTGGAGAGTTTTGAAGCGCCTTTGCACATGGCTTGGTGAAAGTTAAAAGTATTGGGAGAAGTCCCTAGAACAGGGGTGTCGAACTCATTTGTTATGAGGGCCGGATCTGACATAAACGAGACCTTGTTGGGCCGTGCCATGTGTGTCATAAAATGCAATGCCAGGTAGCAGAGATTTAAAGTTTATAAAGGACACAAACACAAAGGTTTTTTTTTTACTTAAAAACATGCTTAAAACATTAGCACTCTTGCAATATTTTGTTTATTTAACAGTGTCTGATAACTGATACCTCTTGCTCTGAATTATTACATCTACATGTCTGTGCTGTTGCAATCTTGAGTATGCTGTTGAGGTGTGTATCTGTAAGCTACAAACCTACCAGCAGCAGCAGAACTGAAAGAAGAAGCAGAAGACAGCCAGTTCCACTGTGGGCCTGGTAGAAGCCCTCCGGGGGCCTAATCCGGCCCCTGGGCTGCATGTTTGACACCCCTTGTCATGGTTTTCTCTCTCTCACCCCAGTCCAGGGATGGGGAGAGACACCAAAGCGTTCAGGAACAATTAAAGAACCACCACAGCGCTGTACTGGATACTGGTAAGTCTACAGTTTGTTCTGGCACAATTATGCCTTGAGGGGAACCACAAATTTCCAGCCAAATTTTTCCTGTGATAGAATTTGTTATCTTGACTGACAACGGCTAAATCCAACTGTATCCATATGGAAAGCAAGGAGGATGAACAGGGATCAGAGACTTTGTGGCTGACAGCTGGAGAAGATCGGATGCAACTTTGGACATATCATGATGGGCTGGTAGTCTTCTCAGGCCCGATATCCACAATACATTTTGGAGGTGGTCATAATTTTCCGTGTTTTCGCACATTCACAGGCTTTAAAAAACAAACAAACTTGTTTTCCATTTGTGTTTTGTTTCCCCTGAAGATGTAGCATTTTGTCTTAAAGATACACACATACACAGTCAGGTTTATGTCATGGTGATCAACCAGCAGCAGTCAAGTTCTTAACATAAAGCAGAGTCATCCCAACTTTCTGCGTTTTCCTGTATGGCTTTCTGCCCTCAGTTGACAAGTGTACTTGTTTACACAACTGGATACTAATCAATTGTAGATCAAACCCATTTTCACCTTCCACAAGGATCTGAGGTACTCAATTCCACCTCAAAGGAACTGTGATCAAATCAGTGCAGCACACACACACTTATGCCCCCTAAAGGAACCAGTGTGTGCCATTCTCACATAAATCACAGCCAGGTTCCCTGTGTGGCCCACCATGCTGCTGGGTTTAAAGTTTAGTTTAAAGTTAATCCACAGTGTAACCTTAAAAGCACATGCCTAGAAGTAAGCCCCACTGAATAGATCTGAGTAGGATTCTAAGTAGACTTGCTAGGATTGCTCACTTATTTTTTGTGTATATACAACACATACCATAGAGTCAGTGTGGACCTCAGAGTGGTCCTGGGACTGGATTGAGCTCCGCACCCTGGATTTATACTTAATTCAAGGGGGAGAAATCCACTGAAAATTAATATTTCTGTCTTCACAGATATTGAAGAGTAGCTAAACTTTAATATCAGGATCTATGGAAAACATCTTGTATGTTCTAGGACTAAGTTCATGTGATATTAGGGCAAGTCCTCAAGCTGCCAGTTTCCTAACAAAGTTAAATAAAAGAGAATGTCAGTTACAAACTGTGTCGTTACAGAAGCTCACTTTCAATTTAGAAGAGCGATTTCATTTGCATGATTTGTTATGCTATTTTTAATCAGGGACATTTGCACAGGAATTCCCCTCTTAGATTTGTTCTTCCTCAAAAGGGCATCAGCTAAGTTTCACCCAGACTTTTTAAGATCTGGTGTCCTCAGTCAAAACAGTAGATGATAGATAGATAGATAGATAGATAGATAGATAGATAGATAGATAGATAGATAGATTGATTGATAGATAGATTGATAGATTGATAGATTGATAGATTGATAGATTGATAGATTGATAGATTGATAGATTGATAGATTGATAGATTGATAGATTGATAGATTGATAGATTGATAGATTGATAGATTGATAGATTGATAGATTGATAGATTGATTGATAGATTGATTGATAGATAGATAGATAGATAGATAGATGATTGATAGATAGATGATAGATAGATGATAGATAGATTAGATGATAGATAGATAGATGATAGATAGATAGATGATAGATAGATGATAGATAGATGATAGATGATGATAGATAGATAGATGATGATAGATAGATGATGATGATAGATGATGATAGATTGATAGATTAGATAGATTGATAGAGTAGATAGATTGATAGAGTAGATAGATTGATAGATTAGATTAGATAGATTAGATAGATAGATTAGATTGATTAGATGATAGATGATAGATGATAGATGACAGAGAGAGATCTTCTGTTCTTTCCTCCCTGTTGTCTGAGGATTCGCTTGCTCTGGTTTTGCACATATTTCCGTTTCTGCGCATGGCACAGAGCAATAGAAATCTTGAATGTATCATTAGTGGAAGTTGTCTCTAGACACCACCACAGGCCTCCCTGGTTCCATTTGCGCTCAGGACCCACACTCACCTGAAAACTCAGGCGCTGCCTTCAGCAGAGCAGAGCACCATAAGAAGCCCAGCACTGCCCCGGAGATCCAAAACCGACTCATCCGCCAAGGCCCAGGCATCGCATCGTACCCCCAAGGCCGATTTCTGCTGCCGCCGCCTGGACCACTCTCACTCGGTTCCTGCTGGCATCTCTCATCTCTTGGTGCTGCTGCTGCAGTTCAAAAACTCCCATTGTCCATTCACAATGGGCTGTTCTTTGCATTGGCTGTAGCTCGTGTGTGTGTCTGGGTGTTGAGCAAAAGAAATCCAATCACTCCAAACAGTGCCGGCCTCAGACGACTTCATGCTGGAAACAAAACATTACAGTCTCACATTTCCCCACTCATTTCTGCAATATTCCTTTAAAGACCTACAAGTTGGAAGGAAACAGGAGAGACAGGGAAATGGTGCCCCCTTTGGAACTTGCCGCCCAAAGCGGTTGCTTCGTGTCCGTTTGTGAGAAGTTGGCCCTAATGCCTCTCCCAGAATTTGCAGCTTTCCCGTTGATGAGGCCTACAAAGAAAGGCATGATGGGATAGCCATAAATAGCCACACTGAGGTAAATCAATGACAAAATTGATTTTATCACAATTTCCACCACCTGTCCACCCAAGATGTCAGGGCGGTTTATGTGGGGTTTTCCAGAGTTTGCTGACACAACAGACTTATGAAGTAGGTCAGGCTGAGAGATACGACTGACCCAGGGTCACCCAATTCGCTTCAATGGGGAAATGACACTTGGTCTCCCCAAATCAGGGGTCCCCACAAATTCCATAGTGACTTCTACCACCATTTCTGTTGCCATGCCCCCCCCCCAAACACAATGTTTTTAGAAAGTGGTTGGGGCCCGGCGAAAGCCTTTGGGCAGCAGGTCTTCTGATGGGCCATTGGAGATCAGATCGGCTGTGCAGATGTTTAAAAAGTTGCTTCGGCAGCCGCTGCTATCACAGCACAAAGACCTTCACTGCAGGACTGAAGGTAAGCTGTGTGTGTGTGCACAAGGAAATATTTTAAATATGTACATTTTTAAATGCCCCTTGTTAAACAGAGCTTCTGTCTGAAATGTTGAAGAGTCACTGTTAAGAGTTATGAGTGATTTTGTGTTTGGCTCTTCCCAGGGGTCATTTCCTGCAGGAGCGCACAGGAGCGGAGCTCCGGCAGTAAAGAGCCCAGGGGGCGGGCACATGCAACAAGCCCCACCCCCTGCTCCCAGCAGCCCTGGGCCACGAGGAGCACAAGGATCTGTGCGCCACTCCCCCGCATAGCTAGTAATCCAAAACAGTCCAGTGGAGCCTGAGCAGTGGGTGTTGCCTTCTGACACACTTCCGGTGATATCAGGGGGTGTGGCATATGCAAATGAGTTATGCTAATGTGTTATGCTAATGACTTCTTTTTCTACTAAATGACCCCTGGCTCTTCCTCTTGTGGGCAACCATTTTGACGTTGGCTCTGCCAGCTGGGGTGGCCATTTTAGTATCTGCACCCACCCCCCTGTGTCTATTTCAGAGATGCTCACAAGCTGGAAAAAGATTGGGGACCCCTGCCCCAAATCAAGACTAAAACTCATTCTCACCTATTTCCTTCAGGCCTTGGCAGAGCTGGTTGCACGAAGTAGGTCCCTGTTTAGACTGGGATAAACATTACATTCGTTTCAAGCTTGTGTCAGACCTACAGGCATCCTCATCAGTTGCGGCTTCCTCTTGAAAAGTGAGAAGGCGGAAAGAGAATACAATTTAAAGAGGTGCTGAATGTCATGAGGCTCTCCATACGATTTCATTGGTCACTGGCCTTAAGAACTGGTTGTTTTTGCAGTTGAGAGGCTTTATTAGGGTACCTTTTTATGGAACTGATTTCTGGTGTTGGGCTTCCCAAAGCCCTTCCTTGAGCAGAGAGGACAGAAAATTGGTCAGAGAAGGAGCACCCATCACAGAGAGTTGACAACATTTTCCTGACAGATTCCCTGTGCCTTCCGTGACTGCCTGACAGGCACAAGTTTAAAAAGTGATATTTCCCCCCCATCATAATAATCAGGGGTCATTTCCTGCAGGAGCGCACAGGAGCGGAACTCCGGCAGTAAAGAGCCCAGGGGGCGGGCACATGCAACAAGCCCCACCCCCTGCTCCCAGCAGCCCTCAGTCAGAGCAAGAAGCAGCCAGGTAAGCTGCAGAGCCCCCTCCCCGGCCCCCCGGTCCAAAACAGTCCAATGGCACCAAGTT